GATGGAAAATGTTATCCACATCCAGAGAAAGAATTATGGAGTCTGAATGCAGATGGAAGCATACTATTTGCTCTCTTGTTCTTTTGTTGTTTTACTTTCTTTATTATGTCTTCTTTCTCATGATTCCTTCCATTTCTTCTAATTCTTCTATACATCATGGCCAATGTGAAAACGTGCTTAATATGAATGTATAAGTGAAGCCTATGTCAGATTTCACACTGTTTTGAGGAGAAGGGAGGAGAGGGAGGAGGACAAAATTTAAAATTCAAAATCTTATGGAAGTGAATGTGGAAAACTAAAAAGAAATAATTATAAAAGAAGAAAGAAAATATCAGAGACTTACCAACTCATCTCACAATCCCATTCTTTAGAAATTTGACTGAGACTCAGCCCCTGATCCAGCCCCATGACTGGGTCTACTGGAAACACCATCTCTGAAAACACTCCTTGGAGCCATAGTGGAAAGGTCCCTTGGAAATCCTGCTTCCCACCCCCACTGCAGCCAAACTCCAGGGAGTGGAGTCCTGGATCCACCTGTCACATCTCAAAAGGGCAGTACTGCCCACCTGGATTGTGGAACCTACTGGTAATGTCACTTTAAAAATTAAAAGAAGTCTGAAGCAGCTGACATCAGAGATGGACAGCTGTTCCCCAAACCCCCAGGCTGAGAAGCAAATGACAGCAGATGTAGACCACCAACCCAAGAAATGGTATGTAGGCTGAGGTTTGCAATTGCTCCTATAAACTAAACCTTTTTTTTCTTCTTGCTACTGTCCTTTCAATCTCAATGTTCATGGAAGTAGCATTTTTCCCTTTCACTTTTACATCGTACTTATCTCCCTAAATTGTGATTAATGAAATTTTGCTATTGAAGGTAAAAATTCCAGGGACTGTAACTTGTTTTGAATTTTGGTTACCAGGATGATTGTCTGAATTGTCACAAAGCCAGTAATAGAAAATGGCATGCGCAGCAGTCTCAGGACAGCTAAGGTGGATATCTGTTCTGGGAAAGGTTGTGACAACAGCCTAGGATATGGCCAGGGTAAGATCTTCCTGACTCTATTTCCCCATTGTGTTATTTCCTTTCTAGAAAAGCAAAATTTTCACCTGGTTAATCCTGAGCCTTGCTTTTAACACTCTATAACTACATAATTGACTGTCAGATATGACTCATGATTGGAATCAAAACAAAACTAAGGGAGTTTTTCCCCCTGTTATATGGTAACTATGTCCTTCTTTGTCCTTTTATACCAAATTTCTTCCTAGCCTGATGTTTTTTCTTCTTTATTCAACTTGTAACTCACTTATTCATACATAAAATCAAAATCATGTTTCAGATGAATGTTCCTTATCAGTCTTCAAGGGCTTTCTGGTCTTTGACCAAAAGGAGAGAATATGAAGTGAATTATGATTTTCATATTCATTGATATGATATATGTAATTCATATACTAATAATTCAGATCTCTCAAGAGACTCTGGCTTAGGTGTCAGAGATTTGCAATTCAGCTTGACATGATCAAACCTTTGACAGTCTTTCACAATCACTACATTCCTATGCCTGCATACATTAAGTAAAGTAAATCAAAGATTGTAGAACCTGTCCCCATCATAGAACTCTAATCTGGCACCCTACCAAGTAATGATCCCCAAAGACTTGAAACAATACTGTTTTCACAGAACTCCATAACACCTGTACTGTAGACTTGTGGGTTTGTTGTGGGAAACCACTCAGGCCCTGGAAATGATTGTTTGTAATCCACCTCCCTCCCATCGTACTACTTGTGATTTACATACAAAGATATAACCAGTGCCTTTACTCCAGCACAGAGAGCATTCTTCACTCTGAAATTGATTAATTAAGCTTGTTACTTGTCTCCTGGCACTCCTGTCTCTAGGCCTGCTTTGTGCGGCTCTGGGTATTCACAGGTTAGAGACCAGATTATATTTAAAATCCTGTTAACACTAGTCTCGTCCATTTCTGATATCTCTTGAAGGTTCCAGACTTTTCTCTTATTCCTTACCTAGTTATGAATTCTCAAGCTTAATACTACTCAGCAGATCATTCAGAATCTAGGAGTATGCCTAATCCTTAAAACCTAAAGAAAGCAAATTACTTCAAGGCTTTTAGTTAATTTTAGTTAATACATTTAGACAAGGTTGTTTGTTTGAGGCTATGCAGTCATGGCCTTCTACTGATCCTCCCTAACAGGGAGCTGATATTAGCTTACAAATATAGGGTCATAGTTTTAGAGCTGGAAGGGACTTTAGAAGCCATTCAGTCCAACTTTTACATTTTAGGAAGAGGAAATTGAGACCAAGAAAGGTTAAATGAATTTCCAAAGGTTACACAGGTCTTTTGCCCCTCCCTTCTATAAAATGTTCACCCTGACTCTCTTGGTTTGAGATGAATAGAGGAAGAGTTGGAGGTGTGAAACTGACACCTCACTATTGATTACTAATCTTACATAGAGAGAACTGTGCTCCCTCTCACTTAAAGATGCCATGGAAAAATCATAGAATAATATGTGAATTTAGAATTACATTTTAAAATGACCTTTAAAAAAAACATAGGGGCAGCTAAGTGGCACAGTGGATAGAGTACCGCCCCTGGAGTCAGGAGGACCTGAATTCAAATCCAGTCTCAGACACTTGACACTGAGACTTACCAACTATATGACCCTAGGCAAGTCACTTAAGCCGATTGCCTAGCCAACAAAAAAAAAAACCTTAAAAAATAGAAAGCAATTTTTTCTCTAAAAGTAGCCAAATAACACCACTGGAAAGCAGAGCTTGAGAGAGCCAAGAAAGATAGGCAACTGAATTAATTTAGAATAAAAGCTTGGCACCACCAGTGGCAGAACATTCCAGCACATTCTGACAATGACATTCAACTGTACCTACCATCTTCTGTCACCAGAGGAGGGTGGTCAGTGCTTAGTTTTCCCAGATCAATGATAAGAGCGGCTGATGTCAAGAAACTTCTGATAGGTTTGGCCAAAAATTACAGTCAGAAATATGCTGCTTCTGCTACTGAACACATAGACACAGTCAACAAGGAGTTCTTGCTACATATTATCTCCTTCCTTTAATCCTGCCCTCTACACACTGGGATTTGGTGAAATCAGGTTTCACAGCAGGGATCACATTTGTAGATCTATCACAACCAATGTAGGGAAATGGATTTTAAATTTTATTTCATCTCCTCTTTCTCAAATAGGAAAAAGAAAAAATATATGGTTATGGAGGTCTGTGTGTTTGTTTTCTAGAAACATTGGTCTATCATCTAACAATGATACTTACTGTGTCACTGTGAGAAATGAAAGGAACCCATGATTCTGGCAGTCCGGATGAGAGTGCCTAATCATTGCTTTAGAAGTGACTGTTCTGATTTCTAAATGACATATAGTATTACTGGTACCTCTGCCCTATCACTGAACAACCTTGGACAGTTGATTGCATTGCATCAGCTGATATTAGCTTCCCAAAATAGAATCATAGACTTAGGGCTGGAAGGGACCTTAGAAGCTATCAAGTTCAACTCCTCATTTTAGAGATGAGAAAACTGAGGGTTAGAGAAGTTAAGTGATTTGCCCAAGGTCTTACAGGTAGTAAGTGAATGAGGCAGGATGTTAGGATAGTGTCACAGTCTATCTGACTATACTTTGTTATGGAAGTTTGTTTTATTCCCTAAATTAAAATGTTTTATTCCCTAAATTAAAAATTAAATAAAAATTTCAAAAGCCCACATACTCCTCAAACCTTCTTGCTGAGGCTACTTAAGCACCACCTATAGGAACAGGATCACTCTATACTCTAGGATTAACTCTTGCCCTAAGCAGGGAAATATGACAGATAGTCCCTAGCATCTTTATTACCTTATGAGCTCCCCAATCCACCTCTTTTCCATTAGGTTTTACCAACAACCACAGCATTCATTGTGGTTCTGACCACAACTGTAGGCCATGATACTGGTTCAGAGAGTTCATGAAGAATTCAGATATCTGGATACAATAAAAGGCACACTGGAGTGTAGCTCGTCCCATTAAGCATTGTTTAGATATGGGCAGTGATCCCACTTGCCTGGGCAGTGGAACAAGGTGACCAACCATAAGGGCCATATTTATTTTCAATACATGGAACAAAACAAGCATTGCCATTACACAGTACAATTTTAAAAAAAGATAATTGCACTTGAAATTGCAAATCTACCATGTACAACTTACAACTTGTTATTTATTCCATACATACAAAAGTTTTCATGTAAATTTCTTTTTTTCTTTCCTCCCCCCCAGAAATGGCTACCATTAGACACAAATAGGTGTGTGTATGTAAAATTATTCTATACATACTTCTATTTATCAGTTTTCTCTAGATTCAGGTAGTCTTTCTTCATACATGTTTTATTTTTAATTTGTGTATTTACAGTAACCACTTTCACCCTGAATGGGCTGAGGAAGGTTCTCTAGAAAATTGAGCGTTTAACACATTGGCAAAGATCTTGGATTTGCAGCCTCAAGGCCACCAAGGAACACCTCCCCTCCCAATGCAGTGACTGGTGGGCTGGAACTATGAGCTGTGTGTGTCCTGGCCCAAATCAGGAGTAACTATCTATAATCACTACAGTTGTCTCATCTGAAGAATAGGGTTACACTAAGGGACCTTTCTGATTTGTATGTGCTATTAGGATGGAGGAATGTGTGGTTTGATCCTGGGGTAGCACAGTCTCAGATAAATCAATGGACAGGGAGCTACAAAAAACAGGCCCCTATGTTTCAGGCACTATGACCCAGTGTTTAAAATACAAAGAAAAAAAGTAAACACTTCCTGTCCTTATGTATCTCACATTCTAATGGAGGTCATTGAGCTGGAATGAAAATTGGTTTTCAGGCTAGTCTATCCTTAAGTTCTTGTCTAAGATCTAATGCTCTTAGAAACATTGTTATTCATTAGGAGGAACTAAAAAAGAGGAAAGAAACACCAGCCTTCACAAGTTTCCTACCTTGTACCACAGAACTCCATTGACAGGGTTTTCTGTCTTTGTTCCAAGTCTCCAGGGAGCTAGGTGCCCAGCATGTGTTGCCATTACTCCCTAGAAGGGAAAGGAAGGGGAGAGGAAAGGAATAAGCAATTATATGGCCCCTACTAAGTGCCAGGTACTATGCTGAGTGCTTTAATAATTTATAAATATTATCTCATTGGTTGTTTACTTGGTTACATCTTGGACTGATATTCTAGAGCTTGGATTTTATTTAGCTAACACTCAATAAACCCCATGGTCCCTTATTACCTCTAGGATCAAATGCAAACTGCTCTGTCTAGAATTAAAAACTCTTCACAGCCTGTTCCCTTCCTATCTTACTCATATCATTACACATTAATGCTCTTATGCATTCTCCAGTCAAACCATACTGGCCCTTTTTTATTTTCCTCACACAGGACATTCAATGTCTCATCTTCATGCCTTTTCACTGACTTTTTCTGCTGGAATGCTAACTCTTCATATCTTAGGATCTTTGGTGTCTTTCAAAACTCAACCCAAACTGCTTCACACATATTGTCTCTCCCTTTTGAATATGAGTTCATGGGAGTTAGTAATTATTGGTATTTTATCAGTTGCCTTTTCTTGGCCTGTGACTATTTGAAAGCATTAATTATTCAGTCAATAAACATTTATTAAAAATGTACTATGTTCCAGACACTCTGCTAAGCACTGGGGATATAAAGAGAGACAAAAATAGTCCTACCCTCAAGGATACTTCATTATAATGGGGAAAACAACATGAAAATAACTAGGCTCATACATGATGTGTAAATAATAGTTGTAAGATAATCTTAGAGGAGAAGGCACCAGCAGAAGCAGTTGAGGTAGGGAAGGGAATGAGAAATTCTCCTATAAGAGATAGAATTTAGAGCTGCATCTTTTAGAAAGACAGAGAAACTATGAAGTAGATGTCAGGAAGGAAAGCATACTAGACAAAGGGCACTCCAGTGAGTGAAATGGTAAAGAGACAGGAGGTAGAATGCCATGTACAAGGAATTTAAAGTAGGTGAATATAGCGGAATCATAGACCATGTGGCGGGGAGTAATTCATAAGAATATGGAAATGGAAAGAAGGGGCTAAATTATAAAGAGCTTTAAATGCCAACAGAGGACTTTATATCTGATTCTAGAGAAAATGAGAAGTCACTAAGTTTCATTGAGTAGGAAGGTGATACTTTAGGAAAATCATTTTGGCAGCTGGGTGGAAAATGAATTGGAGTAGGGAGAGCCTTGAGGCAGAGAAACCAAATAGAAAGCTGGTGCAATAGTTCAGGTGAGAAGTGAGAGCACGATAGAATGATGGCTCTGTGAATAAGAGAAAAGGGATGAACATGAAAGATATTATGAAGGTAGAAGCAATACCATTTGATAATGGATTAAGTGTGTGGGGTGAGTGAGAGTGAGGAGCTGTGGTGATACCACCGAAGTTGTTAGTTCTGTGACTGGGAGCATAGTGATACCCATAACAGAAATAAGTAAGTTTTAGATGAGACTTGGATTTTGGAAAAAGAATAATGAGTTTTCTTTTGAATATGTTGACCTGGAAATGCTTATAAGTCTTCAGTGTGAGACTTCCAAAAGGCAGTGCAGTGCAAAAGGAGAGGGAATGGTTTGGATGAACAGTAGTGCCACACAGGGATAGCAGTTAACAAAACTTTATTGCTACTCACAAGGGTAGGAAAAGAACAGATGTCAAGAGAAAATAACACTGGTATGTAGCTTCAGACAGCACACAATGGAGTGACTTCAGACATGCAGTGGTATCCAGCCTCTGCATTTAGGCCCAAAGTCCCTCAGAGCTCAAACTTACATAGAAATTTTTGATAAAGAGCCAATGTGGCACTAATAGGAGACTACCTTATCATTATTTGGGGAAATAGTAGGGATAACATGGACCACTGATATGAGCATAATGAGGACCCAGGATGCACCCTTAACTACACCATGCAAGTAAGTGGGAAGGGGCTGGGGAAGGGAGATAATGCATCATCTCCAGATTTATTAGCATTAGCATATACGCATCCTTCGGGGCTGGGGCTATACAGTCAAACTGGTTTTCACTATCTTAGTGAATCTCATAATTGGAAAGGATCTCCAAGGCCATCTAGCCCAACCCATACCCAAATAAGAATCCTGTCTATAATGTATTCAACAAATGGTTACCCAGCTTTTGCTTAAAGATGATTCCAAATTTACCTGTTTTCCTATACCACAACTATTTGTGTCTTCTTTGTGGCTCTCTTGCTAGATTGTGAAGTTTCATGAAAGCAAGGGTCTTATTTCTTTATCTCTATATTTTCCCCAGAACTCTGCAAATAGTAGACATTATGTTTGTTCAATTAATGAGCAGGTGTCCACATTGCAACCAAAAAATAGTAAGGTTACTTTATAATGTCAAATAAGGTCTCTTTGCTTTCTAGTCACACCAGTTTCCAGAACTGGCTGCTTATCCAGCAAGATTGTCAGCTCACAACTTTAATAAAATAGAGGAAATATCCCTCTCATAATTTTAAAGACCTGTAGAGGGGGGAAAAAGTCCTTTTATACCCTTCCCCAACCTTGCCAGTGTTTAATAACCTTCATTCTCAAGCAATTTTTCTCATCTAAATCTTAGCCACTACCGTTTTAAGTTTAGTTGAACAAAGACTTTCTCTTGTACAGTCAAATAGACATAGGCTGATGAATTACCTTTACTGTACTGTACCATTTTCTCAGTGAATACAAAGCCTGGAATGTGGACTTGGACTGAATGTTCCAGAGAGTGCTGAGGTTCCATTTGGTCCTAAAAGCTCCATCTAGAGCATTTCTGAGTATGGATTACAATTGAACATAATGTAAAATATCAAAATGATCTGAAAAAAAGGCATTGCCTGAGCAACATAAAAAAGCACTAATGAAAATGAGGTCAAGCTAACAGATTTGTTTTTTAAGTGTACTTCTTTTAGATTCCTAGAAAATTCATTTGGCTTCTCAGAAGTCTATTGTGAAATCTGTTTACCCACTTTCAACCCTAGTTTAAACTTATCCAAGAGAATAAAGGTATATGTAGGGCTGATTCCTAAAGGACTTTCTTTCTAAAGAAAGAGTGCAATTTCATGAGCCTGTCTATAAGACTTAATGCCACTAAAAGTGGAAAGAATGGGCTGGTAAGCGATATGTGGAAACAGAGAGTTGGGCAGCCCTAAGGAAGACAGAATTGTCTAGGCTTGTAGGTGTGAGGTGTGAAGGAGCAGAGGAATAGAACCTGCTTTACTATTTTAAAAAATTGAACAGCACCCCTCCCCAAATATAGGAGCTGTTGGTACTAATTTTAGACATCTTAAAAAAGAGCCAATGAGGCAGAGCCAAGATGGAGGAGTAAAAGCAGGGACTCACTTGAGCTCTCCCCCAAACCCCTCCAAATACTTGTAAAAAATGACTGTAAACAAATTCTAGAGCAGCAGAACCCACAAAAAAGACAGAATGAAACAAATTTCCAGCCCAAGATAACCTGGATAGTCAACAGGAAAGGTCTGTTGGGCCAGGTTGGGAGAGGAACACAGTTCAATGGGGCACACATAGGCAAAGACTGGACCTCGGCAAACCTGGAGCAGGCCTCAGGGCACTGAATCAAGGGGAATTGTGGCAGTTTCCAGACTTTTCAACCACAAATGCCAAAGACAATTTAGGGGGTGGAGCCAAGAGCGTGGAGTCAAAGCAGTGACTTGCTTGAGCTCTCCTCCAAACCTCTCCAAATATTCATTAAAAAAAATGGCTCTAAACAAATTCTGAAGCAGCAGAACCCACAAAAAGACAGAGTGAAACAAATTTCCAGCCCAAGACAACCTGGATGATTGATCAGAAAGGTGTATCGCGCCGGGCTGGGAGCCCAGCGTGGCGTGGGCACGCAGGCCACAGCAAACCTGGAGCAGGCCTCAGAGGACTGAATCTTGGGCAGCTGTGGAGGTTTCCCGACTCCTCAATCCACCAATGCCAAAGACAACTTAGAAGGTCAGTGGAAAAGTCTGTTTCTGTCAGTGCTGAGAAGGAAGGCAGCTTCCAGTGTGGCCCGGGGGGGGGGCAGCTGCTTCCCAGCTTCCAGCCCACAGACTGAGGGGGAATCCACTGGCTATCCGAGGGATATTGCAGGAATCTCTTTGCTTTGCCCGTGTTTGGATCTGGGCCACAGTTCTGGGCAGCTGTGCTGAGGTGAGGAGAAGTGCTGGCATGGTGGAGCTTGCAGTTGCTGTGGAGAGGAACCCTTCCTCACAGTTACAGGACAGAAAGAAGTACTTGTGGTCACAGGCCAGGAAAGGAGTAAACACCTCCCCTTATCATACCACCTTGGAAGAACTGAAAATTTACAGGTCCCTACAAGTATCTCTGAAAACAGCTGTACAAACCCCTGAAGCTTGGGACAGTACATTCTCCACATTGGAAGCCTCTTACCTTAACAAAGAGTTTAAAACTCAAGTAATTGGCCGGATCATGAGCAAGCAGCACAAAAAGAGTCAGACTATATTATCTTACTTTGGTGAAAAAGAAGATCAAAATATACAACCAGAAGAAGACAACAAAGTCAAAGCTCCTACATCCAAAGCCTCCAAGAAAAATATGAATCAGTCCCAGGCCTTGAAAGAGCTCAAAAGGGATTTTGAGAAGCAAGTAAGAAGTAGAGGAAAAACTGGGAAGAGAAATGAGAGTGATGCAAGAAAATCATGAAAAAAGTCAACAGCTTGCTAAAGGAGACCCAAAAAAATACTGAAGAAAATAACACCTTAAAAAATAGCCTAACCCAAATGGCAAAAGAGGTCCAAAAAGCCAATGAGGAGAAAAATGCCCTAAAAAGAAAAATTGGCCAAATGGAAAAGGAAGTCCAAAAGATTACTGAAGAAAATACTTCCTTAAAAATTAGAATAGAGCAATTGGAAGCTAGTGACTTTATGAGAAATCAAGACACTGTAAAACAAATCCAAAAGAATGAAAAAAAAAACAATGTGAAATATCTCATTGGAAAAACAACTGACCTGGAAAATAGATCCAGGAGAGAGAATTTAAAAATTATTGGA